TTAATTCTACAGTCAGTGCTCAAAAGTTTGTTTTTATTTGACTTCGCTATGTTGCTTTGCTAATTCCTGTAATCCATGAGCGTGGCATCTATCTCTTTGTATATTCTTCTGTTTAACAGTGATTTGAGGTCTTTTAAATTTATAAATTTTTAATGTTTTGTTAAGTTTATCCCTATGTATTTATTTATGATGCAGTTAAAAAAAGGGTGCTGTTTTCTTCATTTCTCACTCTTCTAGTTAATATCTTAATACACACATGTAACCAAGTTAGCCAATCATTTAATTTTATTGGTTATTTTTTTCTAAAGTTTTTTTTAGAATATTTAAAATTTTTGGTTTGATTCCTCTATCACTCTTGGAGAGCCCGGCAAGCAACCGAGAGTATCCCGCCCCACAGCAGAGCCTGGCAAGATCCCTGTGGCGTATTCGATATGGCAAAAACAGTAACAACAAGTCTCACAATGGAGACGTTACTGGTGCCTGCTTGAGCAAATTGATGTACAACAAGAGGACAGTGCTACAGTGCTACATTATCTTTTTTTTTTTTTAAATTTTATTAGTGAAACACCATGAGGTACAGTTGTGGACTTACAAGTTTTTATGCTTGGGTTCCTGTTATACAATGATCATGTACCCATCCCTCCACCAGGTCCCATTCTCCACCACCAATGATCCCAGTATCCCTCCCACCCCCCATCATCCCATCCCATCCCGCCTCTGTGGCAGGGCATTCCCTTTTGTTCTCTCTCTCCTTTTGGGTGCTGTGGTTTGCAAAAGAGTCATTGAGTGGCAATCATGTTACGTCTATATTCTACTTTCAGCATGCATCTCCCATCCTGGGAGGATCCTCCCAACACCCTTTATTTGGTGCTCCCTTCTCTATCTGAGCTGCCTTTTCCCCTAGCATATGTGGCTGGACTTCAAGCCATGGAATGAACCTCCTGGTACTTATCTCGACTATTCTTGCATGTTAGTCTCCTATTTTGTTACTTTATATTCCCCAGGGGCTGGAGTGATAGCACAGTGTTAGGACGTTTGCCTTGCACTCAGCCAGCCTGGCCGAGCCGGGTTTGATTCCTCTGCCCATCTCAGAGAGCCTGGCAAGCTACTGAGAGTATCTTACCCGCACAGCAAAGCCTGGCAAGATACCCGTGACATATTCAATATGCCAAACACAGTAACAACAAGTCTCAAAGTGGAGACGTTACTGGGCCAGCTCAAGCAAATCGACGAACAATGAGAGGACAGTGTGACAGTGTATATTCCCCAGACAAAATGCAATCTTTCTATGTCTGTCCCTCTCTTTCTGACTCATTTCACTTAGCATGATACTTTCCATGTAGTACCACTTGTATGTAAATTTCATGACTTATCTTTTCTAACAGCTGCATAGTACTCCATTGTGTAGATGTACCAAAGTTTCTCTAACCAGTCATCTGTTCTCGGGCACTCAGGTTTTTTCCAGATTTTGGCTATTGTGAACAGTGCAGCAATGAACATAGAAGTGCAGTGTCACTTCAACTATACTTTTTTACCTCTCCAGGATATATTCCCAGGAGTGGTATTGCTGGGTCAAAGGGGAGCTCGATTTCTAATTTTTTGAGAATTGTCCATGCTGTTTTCCAAAAGGGCTGAACTACTTGGTGTTCCCACCAGCAGTGCAGGAGAGTCCCTTTCTCCCCACATCCACGCCAACATGGGTTGCTTTTGTTCTTTTGGATGTGGGCCAGGCTCTGTGGTGTGAGATGATATCTCATTATTGTTTTGATCTGCATCTCCCTGATGATTAGTGATGTAGAGCATTTTCTCATGTGCCTTTTTGCTATTCAGATTTCTTCTTTGAGGAAGTTTCTGTTCATTTTGTCGCCCCATTTTTTGAAGAGTTGGATGTTTTCTTCTTGTGGAGTTCAACCAGTACTTTGTATATCCTTGATATCAACCCCTTGTCAGATGGGTATTGGGCGAATATCCTTTCCCATTCTGTAGACTGTCTTTGTATTTTGGTCACTGTTTCTTTGGAGGTGCAGAAGCTTCTTAGTTTAAGATAGTCCCATTTGTCTATCTCTGTTTTCACTTGCTTGGCCAGTGGCGTGTCATCTTTGAAGATATCGTTAGCTTCAATATTGTGGAGGGTTTTGCCAACCTTGTCTTTAATGTACCTTATGGATTCTGGTCTGATGGTGAGGTTGTTAATCCATTTTGATCTTACTTTTGTACATGGTGTTAGGTGCTACATTATCATTTTTAGTCTTGCTTATTTTCTACCTAATTTATATTCACTTTATTTACTTTTCTGGTCAAGTTGCTCTGACTAGGACTGCCTATACTATGTTAAAAGAAAAACATGGTGAAAGTGTTTATCTTAGAGGAAATGCTTTTGGTTTTTCACTGAGTATAATATTAGCTATGAGTTTACCATAGATGGCCTATACTATGTTGAGACATGTTCTTTTATATCCTCATGTTGTTGAGATTTTTCTCATAAATAAGAGTACAATCTTGTCCAAAATTTTCTCTGCATTTATTAATATTAGCACCTATTAATATTAATATTTATTTTGGATATTTCCTTTGTTGATGTTGTGTATTGTATTTTAGTATAAGAAATCACTTTTACATTCCTATAATCATAACAAATGATCCCTTTGATATGTTGCTAAATTTGGTTTACTAATGTTGTATTGGGGATCTTTGAATTCAAATTAATCAGGGACATTGGTCTGCAGTTTTCTTCTTTTATAATATCACTGTATGCCCTGGCATCAGAATTTTGTTCTCTCATAAAATGTTTGGAAAAATTCCTTTTTCACTGTTTTGAAGCAACTTAAGAATAGATAAGATGTTTATTTTTTCTACATATTTCTTCATGTGAGCATTTTAAATGATATACCTAGTGTTTCATGAATAATATATATAACAGCAAAGTCATAAATTTAGTAGTATCTCTACCCTTTCAAAGTTAGACTGAACTCTAGATATAAAATACTTCAGTTGAAGATCGTCAAAGAGGGAAAGCTTACGAAGCACAAAGAAATGTGATGAATCTTTTAAAAATGCCTATGAAATTCTTCTCTTTTCCTTTCTCTGGATTTTTAGGTTATAAATACACAAATACTAAAGAGTAACAAGGTAAATCTACTAGACATTCATCCTTCTTTGAGCTTGAAAGGAAAAAATAGTGGTTTGTATGTAAGATAGTAACAAGTAGTAGGGATAAATATGGGTTATGGTTTAAGACTTCATGAGTTCAAATTCTGGCTGTGCTATTTATTATCACAGCCCTTGGGTAGTTTATTAGATCTCCTTGTGCTTCAGGCGAGATACTCTCAGTAGCCTGCAGGGCTCTCCGAGGGCGGAGAAATCAAACCTGGGTCAGCCAGGTGGCTGCGTGCAAGGCAAACACCCTACCTGCTGTAAGACAAAAAAAGAAAATAACAACTTCTGCTCCATACAAACTCAGCTAAACTCTAACATACTTGTGATTAGATAATGAGTGAGTGTTAATTAATTCTATTTCAGAATTAATTTTAACATGGAAAAATATCTAAGCATAAGAGAATTAATGGAGATTTTCAGTGAACACCGAGGCAGTGACAGAGAGCATTTTTATGAACCTTGTGTGAGTGGGGATTTACACTCCAAGCTGTATGTACCCAACTAGTCATTTTTATTACAGTTAAATTTTATCTAGAACATGATTTCTCAGAGCAGGAGAGACAGTAGAGTGGATGATGTGCTTGCTTCACTTGTGCCACTCTTGGGTTCAGTCCCTGGCATCACATAGGGTCCCAGGATCCCTAACAGAAGTCATTCCTGAGCACAGAGACAGGAGTAAGCACTGATCACCATTTTGGTTTAGGGTAAAAACAAAAAAGCAAATCTTTATTATACTTTTTAAAAAATTGTTATAAAAAGCTTTTAGTTTTGTATAAGGTAAAGGTAAAGGTAAAGGCCCTCCCGTTGATCGTCGATTTGCTCGAGCGGGCCCAGTAACGTCTCCATTGGAGACTTTGTTGTTACTGTGTTTGGCATATCGAATACTCTAATGTAAAATGTAATGTAAATGTCTTCCCGTTATTCATTGATTTGCTTGAGCGGGCCCAGTAACATCTCCATTGTGAGACTTCTTGTTACTATGTTTGGCATATTGAATATATATATCGTATGTGTGTATATATCTTTTATATATATATATATAAGTGCTTGGTATATATATGTATGAATATATATACATATATAGACATAGACATATATATATATATATATATATATATATATATAAAAAAGTCCTCTCCTTACTCCACCCTCAAGTGTTCTGTATTCCTGACTTTGATGTATAAAAGTTCAAGTCTGAGTCTGAGGTGAAAATGTCCTGGAATTTTCACACAAATAAAGGAAACTAGGAAAGTAAAGGAAAAATATTTTGTGGCTTGCTTTGCTCTGTGTATCTTAATCCTTAAACGTGTATCTCACTTGCTTGATTCTATGTATACCTTTGCTAGCTTTTTCCACTCTGAAGAAGCCCTTGTTCTCTCTGGAACACATAGTTCTCTCTTTCTCTCCCTTCACACCTTTCTAAATAATTTCCAATAAAAGTGACCTTCATTGGGACCAGAGTTATATTACAGTGGATAAGGTATTTGCCTTGCACGCATTAGACCCGGTTTCAATTCCCAGTATCCCGTACAGTCTCCTTGAGCACCAGCATCCCATATGGTCCCCCAAGCACTGCTAGGAGTAATCGCTGAGTACAGAATCAGAAGTAACCCCTGAGCATTACTGGGTTTTGCAAAATAAAGAAGGAAGAGAGGGAGGGAAAAGGAAGGGAAGGAGAGAAAGAGGGAAGGAAGGAAGGAAGGAAGGAAGGAAGGAAGGAAGGAAGGAAGGAAGGAAGGAAGGAAGGAAGGAGACCTTGATATACACACACACAAACACACACACACACACACACGCACACACATGTGTAACTTAGTTTCTTTTTCTTTTTCTATTATTTAAAGACATGCAAAACCTAGAGAAGCTCCTGAGAGATGCTGTCACCTATGGCCAGCCTCGAATCCGCAGAGCTTGGAAAAAGATTCTCATCCTGGTGGAGGGCATCTACAGGTATGTTAATAACTCCATGTCAATGACATATGGAGGTCCACAGCAAGCTAAACAGTGAGAAAATGTTTCTCTCTCCTAAGTAAATGGAAACATGAGTTAGATATAGATTTTGTTGAATAATCTGAGCCAGGTTGTCAATTAGAGTTGTCATACCTTGGGCTGCCTAAAATTTTCATCCTCCATGTGATGGAGCGTCTTTGTGATAGGTCTTTGTGACCTTGTGAAAGAGTCCTCAGAAATCTTCACTCAGGACAGTTCCAACTTAAACTGGTTACTCTTCATACCGTTGACTGCCATATAGTTTTTTAAAACCTTTAAGAGTTGAAGTATTCCACATCGGAATGCTTCTTGCCTTTACTACTAGTCTAGACGTGACTGATGGCATGAGACAGAACAGTGTAGTCAAACTCCAGTTCCTGTTACTGGCTACACTTAACCAATAGCTAGCATCAGGATAAAACAAACCTGCTCTTTTACTCCAAGAATGTCTAACTTACAGTACAATTCTCAATCCAGAGCTAAGAGATAGGATTGAGAGGGGTGGCCTTAGTCTCTGAAAGGATGCATAAACCTAGGTCTCCCCACCTCCTTTAAGCTGAACAGACAGAGAGTGCTGGTTAGCCATTCCCAGCTGCAGGTTGAAGTGCTGAGTCACACTGGTTTATATTGCAGATTGTCACTGAATTCGTTTCTAAGTCAATGAGTGGTTACTGAAATGGAAATTGCCTTCAGGCTTTAGTTCTGTCAGAAGCCCTATTCCATCAAGCAAGAAAACATTATCTCAGAGTCTTCACTCCTAAATCAATTCTCAATAATCTGGATTCCGAAGGAAAAGAAGGAAAATTTTCCTATGAAACAATTTTTGAAAAGTGATAAACAGGGCCCTGGTGCTAGTATACCAGAGAGAGCATTTTGCCTTACAGGTGGCCAACCTGAGTTGATCCCTGGCACCCCATAGGATCACCTGAGCATGCCAAGAGTAATCCCTAAATGCAGAGCTGGAATAAACCCTGAGCACAGCTAGGTGTGACCCCAAAACAAAAACAAACAAAAGAGTAGGGTGGGGGGAAATATTCAGAGAAAAAGAATGAGGGCTTAGTTTAACCACAAAGAGGAATGGGTTAACAATAGTAACTTGAGATGCACCATAGCATTTCTTTTAGCCAGATAATCAAATCAGTCTCCAGGTGCACATTTTTCTATTACATAAATAAGTAGCAGAACAATTGCGCCTTCATCCCATTTTCAAAAAAGGAATAATTTCTCCCAAATTTATAATAATAGTAGTAATAATAAGCCCAGTTGCTCTTTTGGGCATCTCCCATCCTATTGTATGGGTACAAAGATGGTCTTTCTAGTTTCAAGTAGCCAGTTTTCAATACTTAAGGTTAGCCCTGAGAGGTCTTATTTGTGAAGTCTTTAGTATTATCCTAGAAAAATATTCTCAACCACTATCTTTCCCACCTATTCTTGACCCACCCTTTGCCATGGGCACATTTGACAACTTTCATTCGTGTAAATGAAATGCAATAAAAATTCACTGTCCTGTAGAGGGCAAAGATAAAAGGATATTTAAGTGCTACTAAATATCCTACAATGCACCAGAGTTTTCAACAAAGAATTACCCAGCTCAGATGTCAATACTGCTGGACTGGGAAACTCTGCTGTAGACTAATTCAGTTATTTACTAGGTCTTAATTTGCTACTTTTAAGAAATAATCTCATATTAACTCTGGGCTGCCATAACCTCAAACATGGATCTTTTTCATGTGTGATTTGTGCCAGCTGCCATCCTGGGAGAGAATCTTTATCTAAACACCTGTCACTCTGGTTGGTCAAGAGGGAAGATGGGTCTGCAGGGGAAAGCAGACTGGGCATCTCCTTTTACCAGAGTAAACTGAATCCAATTGCAAATAAACAGGACTTGGCTCCACTAGAGGAAAGTCACATTTTAAGCACATTGACTGAAATTAAGTGGACCACCAACATTTTACTGTCAAATATTCTCATCAATTATATAGAGAAACCACACCAGCAGTGGGGCTTATTAATGGCTGCATAGGGCCTGTGTGCTATGGTGATATCATAAGGAAGGGTAATGGAATAAACTATAGGCTCCAAGTCAGTGTGTCAGAGACCGCAGCTTAACTTCACTTGCAATGAGGGCTACTATGTCACTCTATTGTGAAATAAACTACTCAACACATAAGGGCTTATAAAAAAAATAAGTCATCATTTTCTACTGCAGACTATCAAGACCAACTAGAAAGGTCTTCATCTCCATAGGATACTTGTTAGGGTCATAAGATTATCCAGCCGAGGGTTCAGCTAGAGCTATAGCACTGTAGCACTGTCCTCCCGTTGTTCATCTAGTTGCTCAAGCGGGCCCAGGAACGTCTCCATTGTGAGACTTGTTGTTACTGTGTTTGGCATATCGAATACGTCATGGGTAGCTTGCCAGGCTAAACCATCCAAAATTACTTTCTTCATACTTTGGGATTCTTGTGACTATCTGAGGTACTTTGTTCTCATCTTCTGGGGGTGTTTGCTCTCTAAACTTTCTCATTCAGGCCTTTAATTGGAACTGCTTAATAAAATGATGGCTAACTTCAAAAGGAATGAAACAAGAAACTACTGGTCTTTTTTAAAGCTTTGATCTAGAATTTGATCATCACCTCTTTTTCACCCAGTTAATCAAAGCATGTCTCAAAGACAGTTTATATTCAAAAGGAAGAGAAATAAACTCTACCTCCTAATGGGAAGACTGTCTTACAGAGGACTGAAAAAATCATAAGCAGTTGTCTTTGGAGGCAATCTAGCACAACAACATAATCAGCATTTGTACAAAGTGAAGACTTCAGTTCCCATGGTCTTTCCTTCAGAGAAACATTCCTTTTAGCACACACTTGGGAATCCTGCCTTTATGTGAAATAAGACCTTAAAGATCTTATTCACAGAGTCAATCTATGGGTTAAGCACTTGCCTTGCATGTGGCTGACACCATTTCAACCCCTAACACTGCACAAGTCCTCATACATAGCCAAGATTGACCCCTGAGCACAGAGCCAGAAACAGCTCCAGAGCACTGATGGACGTGACCAAAATCCCCAAGAATAGACTGCATTCATAGCCAGACACAGTCCTTCTGAGAACTGTATTTTCTGTATCTATAAACTAAAGCTTACCTAGAGTAGGGCTGGAGTGATAGCACAGTGGTAGGGCGTTTGCCTTGCACGCAGCCAACATGGCCAACCTGAGTTCCCGAGTTCGATTCCTCCGCCCCTCTTGGAGAGCCCGGCAAGCTACCGAGAGTATCTCGCCCGCATGGCAGAGCCTGGCAAGCTGCCCGTGATGTATTCGATATGCCAAAACACAGTAACAACAAAGTCTCCAATGGAGACGTTACTGGGTCCACTTGAGCAAAATTAATGAACAACGGGAGGACAGTGACAGTGACCTAGAGTTGAGCTCTGAAACATCTAAACATACTCTTGCCAAAAAATGATATTGTTTCCTACAAGATTTTTCTAAAGATCAGGATTAGAAATGTAAAATTATTAGTTTATAATATATTTTTCCTTTACCAATATTATAAGTGGAAACAGATCTTGATATCTGCACAAATCCTCCTTTGAACTATACACAGATATATAAAGTATACACACATATACACACATATGAATTTTATATATATATATACGTTGCTTGAATTGCAGTGAGCATACACCCCTCCACAGAGAGCACGTATCAGTCAATTTTTCATATGCAAAAATTTCTAAGTCAATTCAGGAAGTTTGAGGGAGTATCAAGTTAGAAAATCAAATTCTACTAAAGCATATTATAGTAATAAAAATAATAGTAACAACTATATTGTTCATAGATAATCTTGTATAATTATTATAATTATTTACATATAGCACTGCAGTAGGTCATTTGCCTTGCACACGGCCAGCCAGCCGAGCCAGGTTCAATTTCTCTCCCCCTCTCGGAGAGCCCAACAAGCTACTGAGAGTATTCCACCCGCATGGCAAAGCCTGGCAAGCTACCCCTGACATATCCAATATTCCAAACACAGTAACAAGTCTCACAATGGAGACGTTACTGGGCCCGCTCAAGTAAATCAATGAGCAATGGGAGGACAGTGCTACATTTACATATAGAATTATGAAGAATCCAGATTTGGAGAGAGTTCTGGAAACTGGTTTTAAATCTTGGTGTTGCCAATTATCAGATGAGATCAGGCACGTTCAGGGTGGTATGGGCTGGAACAATAGCACAGCGGTAGAGCATTTGCCTTGCACCTGGCCGACTTGGCCGATCCAGGTTTGATTTCTCTGCCCTTCTCGGAGAGCCCAGCAAGCTACCGAGAGTATCTTCCCCGCACAGCAAAGCCTGGCAAGCTACCCTTGAAGCATATTCGATATGCCAAAAACAGTAGCGAGTCTCACAATGGAGATGTTACTGGGCCCACGATGAACAACAGGAGGACAGTGCTACAGTGCAGTGCTACAGTTGCCACTTATCATTATGTGACCTGTATAGGGTTCCTAGTATTAAATCAGAGATAGCAGAAGCCCAGTCAATAGTAAACCTACAACCAAGAAGATCTTCATTATTTTTACCTAAGTAAGTTGCAATCTAGTAAACAATAAAACATATGCATAGCAATGTTGTATATTCTTGACCATTAAATAAAAGAGTGTCTGGGGGCTAGGCAATAGTACAATGGATAGGGAATTTGCCTTGCATGTGGCTTACCCCAGTTTGAGCCCCAGCAGCCCATTCAGTCCCCTGAGTACTGCCAAGAGTAATTCCTGAGCACAGAGCCAGGAGTAACCCCCGAGAATCTCTGGATATGACCCAAAACCAAACAAAACAAAAAACGAATAAAATGGTGTCTGAGGGAACAAGCCCCTTCATCATCTGTTTACTGCTTGTTAAACATTTCATTGCAATATTCAGTGAGTCTACCCAGTAGCTTTAGGTTATTGAGAGGATAA